TATTTTAAAATTATATGAGAATCGTATTATTAGAATCGAGCATATCATATTATATCCTTTTATATTTTATTATCGATTTCTTGTATAATCATATAGCCTAAATCTATTATCTATAATATTTTCTAATTATATAAAAATATATTGAAATATTCTATAGTCTAAGACTTAAATTTTTTTATTCATGAATATATATAGAAATATATTTATCATTTACCCTTATTATAAAATCTAAAACTCTTTCAATATATAAAGAATTCATATTATTTAATATCGTAGTTTATTTCGTAGAAAAGCATTTGTTTCAGTAGGAAACCATCCGTTCTCGTAAATACAAAGAACGTATGCCCTTGTTGCTAAAGATATTATTCATCCATTATCGGTAGCAGGTTTGTAACGAATTTGGTTAGGAGATAATGAATAATTTTTCGACGGAATCATGTCGCTGCAACACTCCGCCAACTGTACTCCACGATCTTCGCGCACTTGATGCCTTAGCGCGTTTTTCACAAGATGGGAGTGCGTGTGTGTGTGTGTGTGTGTGGGTGGGCTGGGTGGCTGGGTGGCTGGGTGGCTGGGTGGCTGGGTGGCTGGGTGGCTGGCTGGCTGGCTGGCTGGCTGGCTGGCTGGCTGGCTGGCTGGGTGGCTGGGTGGCTGGCTGGGTGGGTGGGTGGCTAATTGGCTGGGTGGCGGGGGGTGGGTGGCGGGGGGTGGGTTAAAATTGGGGGGGTGGGGTGGCTGGGGTGGGGGTGGGTGGGGGTGGGTGGGGGTGGGTGGGGTGGGTGGGTGGGTGGGTGGGTGTCTGTCTCACACTTTCTTAAATCTGCATCTGTGTCTCTGTGTGTTTATATATCTGTGGGTCTATCGTGTGTGTTTTGCCCTGCAGCCCGCTCCTGGGAGCAACCCCATCCCCGTTTTTGAAAGGGATGGGCTCAGATGGACACAAGACCGGGTACGCCGACAGGGAGGTGCCCGGTAGGGCCGTGTGCTTGCTGGCAACGATATCTCGAAAAAGAAGTGCACATCAGTGGTTTGTCTGGTAACAGAAAGGAAAGATGCTCTAACTTCCGGCCACACAGTTCTCTCTGTCTCTGTGTGCTTGTGTGCTTGCGTGTGTACTTGCAGTCGGAGACTTACCACTAGTAGGAGCTTGCAGAACTGATGGTGCATTGAGCTGATTCTTCTAAAAGAGTGTGGCACCTCATTTGAAGCCTGACTGACGATTCGCATCGAACACCACGCTAAGGAATACTCAACAGTTACAATCAATCTGGCAATCTAGGTGGATGTGCCGTCTCAACACATGGACGAAGAAAATCACACCTGACATCTTGTGCAGGCTCGAGTTCCTGCCACCACAGCGGGCCTCATGAATCTAGGCGGAGAGGTGCGGGCTTGCAAGAACATTTGAGGCAGGAGGTGCGATCTGATCTATCACATGTACTAACCGAAAAGGCTGGGCCCCTTGAGCTGGTAAAGGGGAAACAAGCACCCACGAGCGAGCACGATTAGTTTGCACCGTTGTTGTCTTCAGCTACCCTTTGCTCAGACAAAGTGGCGAGGGCAGGGCAGCATGATTCGTGATTGTTTGTGTGCGTGTGCGCGCGTGAGTGATCTTATGTGTCTGCAGGTCTCCAGCCAATTGGGGACCCCAGGAAGACTCGACAAATGGCCCGCGACAATGCTAACCGAAGGCTCGAACAGTCTCCATCTCTCTGCAAATTTGCCTGCTTCCACAGATGCACAGCCAATCTGACACAGCATCACATGATTCGTCGCCCTTCACCCCCGAAGAAACCATAAGTGCAAGATGATCGGAGCGGACAATGGCAGCAAGGCTCATGACTGCCGTGTGGTCAGTGTGTAAACCACTACGATGGCAAAATGGCAAAATAGCACCTATGTGGCTGCTGCCGAGATACAGTACATGCCCGTGAACAACCCACCGCGCATGGTGTCATCCGCAAACAGCCTGAGGGATGTAGGAGGAGACGAAAGCCAGATGCACCGTTCTTGACCATGGGAAAGGACGCATTGCATCCGGTTTGCTTAGTTCCGAGGTCTCTGTGCCGTTCACAACAGCTTCTGAAACTCGTCAACCTGGCAGAATCTGACAGATTTTTCAGAGGCTGAAGCAACTTGTGCTCGAGCTTCTGGTCCTGGCATAGCACGGGATCAGCACGAGATCCGCGTAAAAGGCTGCAAGTCCGAGGCCCCTTAGAAGCGAAACTCCTCGCCGTTCTGCGCTCGAAGACCGAGGCAAGTACCCTGCAACAGAACATGTCGAGCCTTCTCTTCCGTGCTTCGCTAGGGCTTCGCTTCACAACACACAGACTTTCTCTGAATTGACTTTAAAATATGTAGCATGCACCCTGCGAATACAGCTGACTGGCAGGTCGGAGAATCCTGAGCTCACGATGCTTCCAACATTGTACCGCTACCCGGCGGCGGCACCCTGTTTCGATTGACGCACTCCACAAGCTCCACTGGCTCTGCCGCGTCGTTGGCGTCTTCTGCTTCTTCCACCTGGCGCCATGCTGTAAGCACACAAAGTCTGGAGAACGAGTGTCCCGAATGCATTGTGATCGAGGCAACACCGAACATGATCTCACTTATCCATCCGCTCATCTATCCGTACTTCCATACCCTCCTCCACCCATCCGTCCTTGCATCTATCCGTCTGTCCATGTCTCCATCCATTCATCCATCCACCTACCTACCCCCCACGCACCCACCCAGTCATCCATCCATGCATTCAGCCAGCCATCTATCCATCCACTCATCGATCCACTCATCCTCGCACCCCCTCGACTGTAATAAACCAAACATATCAAGTAAAGCCTTCGATAAACCCTATGCTATATAACCCTCCTAGCAAACCTCGTGACGAACCCTCCCGTAAACCCTTCAATCTAAGGACGGGCAAGATTCGACCATTTCAAGGCTAGAATCCACGTGGCAACACACACGCAGCGCCACGACCTGACGCGTCCATCGGGAGAGTTGTCACTCCGAGTCCGACGTGAGGCCAATCTATCGGAATGTCCGAGAGGGTTGTCAATTCCGAACACAAATCGTCACGGAACCACATGTGCCACGCGGGACCACACTCGCAGCGCCCGGAGACGAAGGGTTGCCATTCGAGACCAACGATCGCACTTCCCGAGATGGCTGTCGTTTCGAGACCTGCGTGAGGCCAACGCATTGGGAATTTACACTGGATCGCCCTGACCGGACCGGCAACGCTGGGAGGGCTGTCAAATCGGAACTCGAATCGTCACGGCACCAAACGGGGAGATCCACTTTCGCTTGACTGAAGATCCTTCAAGCAGGAGAGGGTTGCCCAGTCGTCACGGCACCCCGCACACAGCGCTATTTTACGCTGCATGGTGACTGCCACTGTAAATAGCCCTGCGGTGTGCCGTAGAGACAGCCTCAGATCAACAGCGTCATGTCATCCAAACAACCTCATCTCATCATGCCATCCAAACCACCCGTACAGAAACACAAAAAAACACGTCCTTCACGAGCAGCAGTGGAAAAGTTTTGCAACACGAGCAGAATCCTGGCAATTCAACTGTGCACAGCCTTCATGAGGCCCTGTTGCAGCTGTGCCTGCAAAAGTGCTGCACAGAATGTCAATCTACAAGTCTGCTGTCGCTCCACCGGCACTAAGGCACTCAGCTGTGAAATCTCGCCAAAGTGAGCCACGAAAGACCTCAGGCTCTGGCCATAAGTTTCTCATCATCGATGTCATCGAAGTTGTCCGCCTCCAAATCGACTGCGTCCTGCCGCATCAGGCAGAATGCAGAAAGATGCAAAGCGTCTCTGTGAAAAGCTCCCATCTTGACGAAGGCGGCTGCCCGGGTGATTGCAGATTGCAGAGGTTTTCGATCACTTTTGCTCTTCTGCCTGTTTTATGCTGCTGGCAAGCAGGCGCATGCTCGGTGACGGTCGTCACAAGCTGCATGCTGGGAGCTGCCAATCGTGCTTCCAAAGCGAAACACCCGTCTACACAGATGGATGATAGATGGTGGTCTCTGGTCTCTCCTGCTTCAAGCAGTTATTACTCTGTAATGGGGAAAGACGTGCAGCTCCCCTTCAGGACGTCGGCTCAACTGTCCCAAAAGTCTTTGCAACCGCCGCCGCAGATGATGGATTCAGGTACAAGTTCAGGCTTCCGTATGCATGGCTGTCCATTCTGCATCACAGGGTGGCCGATAATCTAACAGAATAGCATAGAAACGTCAGCCACTGCCAAGAACTCAATAACTGCGGAGCTGGCGATTGCAGTGGAAGCGATGGGAGCATGCAACAGTATGTGTTTAACTTCGACCTGTCAATCACGTCTATTGCTTAAAGTCGCCATGACAAATCCTCAGCTCCGAGGGTCATGTTGGCAAGCTTTTAGTCACTGACTTGTCGTAGCCGTCACAGCCAGGAAGCAAGTTCCGGACTGTTTTAGACTGTTTGGCTGCGGAAAGTCTCAGCAACCCGGAGAAGGCTCTGGGAATTTGGCCGCAGTGCAGAATACGACCCCAGCACATCTTTGACTCTCGGCCCTCACCCGTCTAAGTTAGTAGAACTCGGTATGTGATTAGCCTGCCTTCACGTGTTGGCATTCCGTGTCACACCAACGGGGGTAAGTAGTCCCTGGAGCCTTCCATGGGAGTCTGTCCACTGGAGATGTCTGCAGGAAGTCGGTGAGACCCTTCCATTCTCGCTGAGCATCCCCAACACGGCAAAGAGGCAAGTATCAACATAGACTTTGATAGGACTACTAAGTTGAAAGTGAGAGTTGTCGTCCTCAGGTAGCGCACCCTCGACGACAAAGGAGAGATTTCGCGCTCCTGTTTATCTGCAGGCTCTTTCAAATACTGCCAATCTTTCACCATCTGGTGGAAAAAGATGGAGATCCCTCGCGAAGTATAGAACCGCATAGGGATCCCAGAACATAAAACTCCATGGCCCGTCATGCCCGCATCTTGTAGTAAACCGTTATCTTTCAATGTCTGCGACACCTCTGTGCAACCCACCCACTAAGGTGCAGGCGGCGTCCTCGCATCTGCTCAGGGAACACCCCTCGCCACTGCAGCACCCCCGCGTCCCGCAGAAACAAGAACGATCCAAAGACTTTCTATGGTCCAACCTCCAATGCAGGGAGGGATCGACGGGCTATGCCAACAGAAACCAGACAGCCGGGCCAGCATGGTCTGGCCTGGCCTGTCGTGTGCAGGGTGAGAGCATGCTCCACAACTGTGGAAACATGGACCCGGCGACCCTGCTAGGGCTGCTAGGGCCCACGGACATGGAGGAAGGCAATTCGAAGCACATGGACTGTAGACGTGTCGAGCCCAGGTTCCTGCTCCACCAGCCGCATGTCAATGTCAATGCGCTCCTTACTACTCTATACTCTGCGTGCGTCACTACGACACCTAGACCTAGACCCGCAGCGCCGAGCTACGCTGCCAGGTGGCGCAGGAACCTCCAACGACTCAATCTTACAAGGAAGCAGCACCTTGCCCAGGCATTTCCTCACATCCAAAGGCCAAAAGGCTTGGCCTTGGGATTTACCTGGACTTGGGGGTGTTCTTGCAGCATCCTGAAGGCTTGTCGTGTCTTGCTGATGCTCTCTCCTTCTACTCTTCTGGGCCAAACAAACATTGCACACTATCCACTGCTCTCAAATCAAACTACCCAGCCTGCTGTAGGGTTGGAAGCATTCAGGCAATGCAGGATGACTCGTGATCATCCATGCCATTCTGATTTGCGTGGAAACCGAGTCTGCCAGAATCTAGACTTCAGAAACAACAACCACAACCACCACAACCATGAAAACCGCCACAACAACCACGACCACGACCACGACGATGCCGATCGAAAACAGCAAGCCATGCGATTGAACAATAACCGGCGACGTAGCACACGATATGTTGCGACTTTTGCGGGGTGAGTTCAAACGACTCTTTTGAATGAAAACGGGTAGGGGCACTTGCGTGGAAGATGGCTTCTGCTGGGAGGTGCTTCTTCTTGCAACCGCCACGGAGAAACATCAGCACAACCAGGCCACGTGGCTAAGTTGCAGATTAGTGTAGAAGTGTAGTGCGGATCGCATTCAACCTTCCTTGAATTTTGCTGGGAAGGTCTTCACCAAGAATGACATGCTGCCAGAGCAGATCATGGCCATTTGTGGCTGGTGTGCCCGACGTCGGCGGAAACAAGCAAAGGCTCATCCAACGCAAAGGATCTTTACAGTGCCCTACTGCGCATTCGACGAGCTGTCTGAATCGGAAGATTTCGTGCCGACCAGACGTCTAGATTCCGCTTGCAAGGGGAACGACCCTGTTAACGGTATCAGCAAGTCGGTCACGGGCATCTCCCCATTCTTGTGTGCAGTCCTTGCATGCTTTGTATCATGGCTCTCTGGGAGCTCACGACAGCACCGATGCTAGCGCAGCTCACCTGTTAGCAATCTCAGGAACTCAAATGGCAATCTAACCGCTACTCGTTAGGCTCCTCGGGATGCATTCTTCGTTGCTGTCAAGCTGCACCAGAGATTTGACGACTGGTCTTCTGGACTACATGATTTGTTCACACTTGCGATCATCGCTGCCCCACGACCTTTAGATGTGTTCACTAACCGACGTCTTCAGGTGAAGTCTGTATTTGTCGTGCAGGCAGCAGATGCTATCCGTTTTTCAAAATATCAGTCAGGATCCGGTCGCAGTCAGCAGACAACTATCTTACCCAATCTGTAGCTGAATACTGTACGTAACACGCTTCGCCAAGCCCATAAGCAGAAAACCCAACTGGGTGCTGCTTAGTAGACACAACCATGACAGGACATACCACCCCTGGGAAAGGTGTCGCATAGTGAGGTTGCTGGGAAGACATCAGTTGACTGCCTGCCACCCTGCACTGCTCTAGAGTTGAACAGTGCCGTCTGGGCAAGCTGGGGCCCAGCACGGGCGGACCACTGCACTTTCAGCTCCAGTCTTGCCATCACAGCAGGATACCTGGAGGCCAGATCAGCACAGCACCTTCAAAACGAGCCCATGCTCCCACCAAGACATTCGTCGGGCAGCCAAGAACTGCCCGGTGGATCAGCTTGCCTTCTGGCGGCACTCACGGCTTGGTCTGCTCCAAAGTGCAGCAGTGAACGATGCAGGCATTCGGGAACATGGGGGGGATCCATGCATACGCATTGACGATCTCTCTGAACAGGTTCTCGCTATGAATCGCCATAATGACGACAGCATGCATCGCTCGCGTCTTGGTCTACGGCTCGCACTGAAAAATTCGACGCTGATTCAGTGAAAAGGCATTGAGTCCTCCATGATTGCAAACCGAAGCGACAGTTGGGCTTGTGACACGTAGCCTATAATCAATCGATGCTCCCCGTTCCACGTTGCCACCGATGTCAATCTAGATTTAGCCACCTGCAAAGGAAAACATCTTGGAGATCTCAAGAGGTCTTGCTGATCAGAATGGTCTTGCAACATGTCCAAGTGTTCAGGCATGTTCAGGCTCTTTCGCAGCCAACAGCAGACCATTCCTCACAGCCTGATCAGAGCCAGGATTTCACTGCAGTAGTATAGCTGGCACGATGATCGGCCCAGGCGCCACTGCGACAACCTTGCTCGAGTTCAAAGAAGCCAAGAACCTCCCAACTCTGCTGATCCACTGTGAAGGTCCCGGCCTCACTTACATCTTATTCCAGACTAGATCGGGTCGGCAGGGCACTCACACCTCGGAATCGGAATTGGGCTCCTGACAGGCACTGTCGGCGATTGCTTCTCCTGCGGAGATGCCTCCCGAATATCACAAGTGTTTGGAGACGAAACACACCGCGTCAAGCTTTCGGCTGTCCGACTTGAGCATATCACAAAACCGTACACTGTATGTGGAAACCTTGAAGTCGACATTGACGTTGGGGCCTGTGCCGCAGCAGCCGCGGCCCTGAGGCGCTGGGATGCCGACTTCTTAGCCTTGAGCTCAGACTCGAGGCTGAAGCTCAGGTTCCAACCACAGAAAACAGTGATGCCCCGCCTTCTTCCTGGCCTTCAACTCTGCAGCAGAGCAAAGGTGACAATGGCCACATTCCTGCGCGCACATGGCATCAAGAGGGACTTCGGTTCGCCGACGTCTGGCTTTCCGTTCGCGTTGCTCCAAGAGCCGGACCGCGCCATTGGCACAGCCCTGTGGCCGCCAAAACCAGGCACAAGGTTTGCAGTTGCCAGTGCCTTCGGTCGCGATTCGCCGAAGGCTCCAAGAGAAGAGCCGAGAAGAGCCGAGGCCACGAGGCCCGGACCATGGACTTGCGATCCCAACGATTGCTGGGGGCGCCGGGTTTCCAATGGCTCGATGGCTGGGAAAGTCTCGGAGGCCGGGAAGCCCTGACAACCACACGACCAGACCACGTCTTATGCATTTCCTGCTTTTCCCCCAGCCTTTTTGGGCCGCAGACGGGTCTGCGAGGAGGACGAGGCAGGTTCCTCCGCACTGCAAGACCTACAAAAGGGGTGGCTCCTGTGTGATGCTGTTCAGAAAAGCAAGTCTGCGCTGCAGCAGCAACAGCCAAGGTAGACATGCTCAACAGCCCGATTCTGGGCCGCCCGGATCGGAGACAGGAATGCGGCATGCATTCAAAACCCTCTTTCAACTGCTCTTTCTTCCCTGCATCATGTCTCCTCTTCAAACCCGTCCGCTACGTCCGTGGCACGCTGTGGGCGGGAATGGCTGATCCTGCACAGCACGTTTCATGAAAAAGCAACATTTCTCGAGCCAGCAGCTGCTTGAGAATCCGGCCTGCTAGCGTCGGAATCTGAAGCATCTGCACAAGATATTGCCCCAACCTGTCAATTCCAGGATCAGGCAATTGTCTGCATCTCCTGCTCTCGCATGATCGCGTGGCGGCGTGGAGTGGTCACAGCAGGATATCTTTGCTGCAACTTCTGTCGACAAACGTGCCGTGCATGTAAACATCTAAGCTTCGCAGGATGGGGCAACGCTCCCAGAACGCCAAGCTCTCGACTTTGAAGGGACTCGTGTGGGTCGGCTCATCCTCTCTGCCTCAAAGTGGAGGCTTATCTGAGAAAAGTCGGTGTGCCGACGCTACAGTAGCAGGCATACAGGGACTTAGATGTGAGACATCTCCAAGCAGAATGGCTTCCCTTCACCTGCTGCGTGTCGATTGCATCCAGGAAAGCGCATCGTTGGGGGTGCGGCCACTTCCATGCTTCGGGCTTGTCACAGGGCTGCTGGTCAGCAGGCAGGGTCGCTCTGGCCCAGGCTGAAGCCTGGACATCGGCAGTGCTAGCGAATTCCGAATCGCAGCTCACAAGTCTATGGCTTCGAACTTCGGTCTGTCTAGGCTATCACAGAGCTTGTGGCATGAAACTTGCACCGCAGACTGGACCATGTTTCAGTTGCACTGTCGCATCCAATAGCTGAGCATCGTCTGCAGGGACACAGTTTGGTTTGTAGCAAGGTCTTCGCCTCGGAAGTGGTGGTGGGACGTGCGGGGGAGCTGGCACCATTGGCAAGGACGATCCTGCACAGTCAAAGCGAAGAACAAGTGCTCACTTGCAGGAGGAAGGGATGTTGGAGCCTGTATGCAATCTTTCTTGAGCACGGTGCCTAGACTCAAACTCCGCAGATCCTGCCGGGAGATCGGATGCGTCGATGGCGTCGAACGCCTCCTCAGAGCCCTTCGCCGGGCCTGGGAGCTCATGCGTCAAGAAACACTGAGGCCCAGCCAGAGTCATGCCGGCAGGTGCTAAACAGAAATGAAACTTCGAAACCTGATGCACCCTCCGATGTCTTGTGCCAGGCTACAGCTGTACACACTGCCGAAGCGAAGAGCCCCCTCCTTGCGCAACGGGGTGTCGACTGCTGGGGAGAAAGCAACGGCGGCATCCCTCTCTGTCGCTGTGCTGGGCTTCAGCACTGGACATGTCTACTTGCTTCGGCACTCACACATGCGCAAATCCACAGTTTCTGACGGAAGTAGCAACCGTACAGCTTCTGCTAACGTACTGGCAGCTCTACTCTCAAGATTCCTCGTCTTCGGAATCCACCACATCAAAGAATGTGTTTTTCACCTTGTTTGGCAACAACAACTCTCCAAGCAAGTGCGACATCATGGATCCGCCGCACTCTACCAAGAAAAAGATAAATGCTGACACGAAGGCCTCAGTGAAGATAAGCCTGCATCACAGGGCCAACTGCTGCTAAGGATCTTTGAGCTTTGCCAGCTGCTCTCTGGCGGCGGCGAGAAAGCCTGCAAACCGGCTGCGGTCCGGGCCGACCCTCGAATGTCAAGCTAGGTTGCAGGTACTTGCAGGTACTTGTAGTGGTGCCAGCAAAGAGAATGAACCGAGTGCACTCGGACAGACTTCAGCCGCACAGCCACGCCCAGGCCAAAACGGCTCGGCACCTGGAGAAAGATCGAAACCATCATCTGCCATGATGTGAACCTCGGTCGGACGCTGTTGCCGAGCTTGAACAGTGCAGCAGATGTTTCCACCACCCAGACACCCAGATCACAAGACTAGGCCTTTGGCCGACGATGCTCCAACACTGAGTGGTGTCCTACTTCCAGCCCCCCTCTCGAGCCCAAACCTCAACAGATCAGACTTGATAGCAGCCGAGATTTCAGCCGAAGCTGCAACTAGCCGGTTGCAGGGCGACATAACAGTCAGTTCCATGCAGCAGATGGATCCCTCGCTAAGACATTCGCCCTTGCTAAGAGGCTGAGACCCTGTCGTTGCCTCGGCAAAGACCTCGCCGGCCTCCACCTCGGCCTGTCCGTGCTCGTGTGCTAGCACCACGTGCGACTTACGACGAGGTCAGCTGTGGACTGTGGAGCGAGAACTCCCCCCACCGACGTTGTGCACGAGCCCACAACCCGCCCCCAGTTTTTTTCAGCAACTCTCGTCTTTGACAGCTACCCTGCGCTCCACTGCTCCTCTCGTCTTCTTCTTCAGTGCTTACAGCTTCAGCCTCAGCTCACACCTCTTTCATCATCCGTTCTTTCGTAAGGCCGTAGGGCACGTGCTGTGTGGAGCATGCCCTCTGTTGATTGTCTGTGCGGGGTCAGCCAGTTTGGCGATGTTCGGCCCCACACAGGAGAGCAACCAGAGTTGCAGCATAGTCTTCAACAACACCACATGAGACAGCAGACTGTCACTCTCTCTCTCTCTCTCTGGCTGCGCGCTAACGCTTCGCTCCCCCCCGCTGATCCGCTGATTGCGGGCAGCGGAACGACTTAATATACAAACAACCACATGACAGCGCAGCGGAGAGACCTCTCCCTGTCTCCCTCTTTCTCTCTCTTCTCTGGGGCTGTTGCTTGCTTGTGCAATCAATCTTCAAAGCGGATACTGTAGATAGACACCACACACTGGTCATTCGTTGCAACTGCGACACACAGCACACAGCCCGCGCCTTGACCCCGTCTTCCACAGCATCCTTCATGTCAGCACAATAGATTGTGAGAAGGAATTACCGACACCCTACAAAAGCCCACTAGTCGAACCTGAAAGAATGAGACGCGGCCTGCTGCTGCTCTTCCTCACTTTTCTCGTGCTCGCTCTTGTCCTTCTTTGCCTCCTCCAGGGGTCGAAGTGATGCAATTCCTCTGAAACTCTGGCCCTGACCCACGGGCCTGGCTGGCCTGGCGCTTGGTCGACTGCGGCCTGAAAAAAACAATCAGCCCTGTGTGCAGCAATCCACTTGTGTTGCTACCTCTCTTTCTCTCCTACCTGCTCTCCTTCTTTGTGTTGTGATCGCTAGTTTAAAGCTTCCTTGCAAGCTCTTGAAAACTAAAACGCCTTCCTGTCACGGGAGTTCGGCCCGGCAACTGCCCGGTTTTAAGCGCTGCAGTTCTCGAAAATTCCCTGTCAACTAGCCCTGTGTACAGCCATGTTCTTGCTGTTCATGTTGCCATCGTTGCTCTTCTCCTCCTTCCTGCTTCCTCTTGCTGCTCCGGCCGCGGCTGCTGGTCTTGTTTGCCTGATCTGATGTGCCCGACCTAGGAGCCTCAAGATGCAAAGGCCGCAGGATGCCTGCTTTGCCTCTTCAGCGAAGCAAACTGAAATCACAGGCATCCCCTCGAGGGCAAGGAAGACCCCCAGCCAACCTCGCGCTGCCATCCGAGGAGTCACTCCCGCTGCTGCTGCAGCCCTCACTCACGGAGCTTCGTTTCGCTTCGCTTCTCAAGCCGAGCATGCCGAGCCTTGTGTTTGGACTTTGCTTCGGGCTCCGGGAGCTTCGTCGCCTGCAGTCAGCAGAATCCTTATTTCCGTCGCTTCTCTCGTGCGCCATCACACCCTTTTGATAGCAAGGATGCCGCAGAGGCCTAACCGTCCTAACCTGGGGCCCAGTCAGCCGGCGATCCGACTGGACTGCCCGTGCTAAACAAATCAAAACCGTTCCTTGCGAGAAGTACCCGCTCAAAGATGATCTACTGTCACCAGGCTGCCTCTACTGTTTGACCATCTCCGTCTACGTGTCAACCGGAGACCATAGAAGCCAGAGCCAAGGCAGCCCTGGCCTCAGACATTGGCGATGCCTCGGCCTCCGCCTCCTCGCGCTCGCTCTCCTCCTTCTCCTCCTTCTCCTCCATCTCCTCCTCCTCCTCTGGCTCGTCTTTGTCTGCCTTTGGCTTGGCCTCAGAGCAAAGTCACAGGATGGGGCGATTCCACCGGTTCCTTCGGATGAAGCCCAGGATTCCGGCAAATGCTTTGGGCCTCGCAGCACAGGGCAAGTCTTCAGCGCTTATGCCAAATATTGACATCTTGCGAATGACCTTGTGACCTTGTGCATTGGACGAATCGGATCCGACTGCGTTTCCGTACAAGGCTGCATTGGCTTCCGCCAGGGGCGGACCGACACAATACTGTTGACGACGCTGTTGACTGGATTGCCTCCTGGGTCTACCGTGCGAGAGGACTGAACCCGCCGCCTGGTCTCCATACTGGCAGAGGAAGAATAGCTGGAGGCGCTGCCGCTGCGTGCCTGCGACGGGCGAATCATGGGAGGGGCAGCACCGGCTGCCATTTACGAAAATTCAATACAACACAGTTTGGCGAAGACATGCACGACATGCACACGTGCTCCGTGTCTAGCTAGTGGTATGAAGACAACGAAAAGGACATAAAGAACTCACACGCCACAGGTGAGACTCGAGATCCGGAGTCGAATTGGGTGCCTTGGCCTTCGCCTTGCTCTGAGCAGTTGGCTCCGGTGGCCGAGGCTCCGAAAGTTTAAGAGCCTGCCACTCGGACTTTTGCCGCTGCTCGCTGCTGCTCGCTGCACCCTCGCCATTACCAAAGCCATGAAAAGCGCCCCCAACCAACCTCCTTCGCAACCTTCGGTGACATCTTCGGCGACGACACAGACCTCAATACACCTCAGCCAGAACGCACGGAAGCTCGAGGAATTACAGGGATGGCACTGAACACAAGAGCACCCAGACTGTCATGGAGTTCACCGAGCTCATTGAGGTCATGGCCGAAAGGAGATCTTGGGCCTGTTGGGCCTGTTGCAAGCTTTCGTGTCAGCTCAGAGAGGGCTTGTGCTTCAGCCACAAGCAAGGCCCCCTTTGCCATCCCATAGCCCGCCGCCCACCGCCCGGCCTCGCTTCGCGCTGCGGCTCCGTCGAGTCTCGGTAGTTCTGGCCCGCCGAGCATCTGATCGGTGCACCGCTTCTCAGAGTGCACTCAGAGCGGCGGCACATATGCCTGTGCTCTCAAACTACAAATACCTGTGGCAGTTGAAGACACGAAGTCCTCTTTCGGAGTGGAATGAAAGTGCCGTAAATGACAGAACAGGATAAGGATGCCTCACCTTCCCGGGCTGTTCGACCGGCTGAGCGTGGACGTCTATCCCTTGCGGCATCGCAATCTCTGCAACGTTGAATGGGCTACACAGAAAGCCCAAGCAAACGTGTTGACCGTCCGCCCGTCCGCCTTATCACAGACCGTCTTCGCCGGCCTGAGACTCCACCCCCGGCAGTCGACTGCGAGGTGCACGCTGCCATCACCAGGAGTCGCTGCGCCTCCGGCACGGCGCCTTCGGCTGCGCGATGCCCTTCGCCGCCCGGCACCTCCGAGAGCTGAGGCTGAAGAGCGGCGGACAATTTTTGGGGTACAGCGTACACCCGAGCCTGTCTCAAACATTCTGCCAGGTATTCTGCCTGAGCCCGTTGCGCCGTTGCACTTGCACATACTTGCATCAAACTTGCGGCACTCGTCGATCATGAATGTCGCTCAGCGCCATGTGTAATCCTTGGTTCCCAACGTCGGCTCCTGTCCCGAGCTCCTCTGGAACGACTTCGACGTGGCGTGGGCAGCTTCCCTGCGACACAAGGGCCAGTGTGGAGGAAGGCTATGATTCAAAAGCCCTTAAGGCCTCCAAGCCGTTCCTCGATTCGTGACCTACGCGGGCTCGGACTTGTGGGACACGTCCGCAAAGGAGAGTCACCTGAACATTTGAGCATGTCTACACCGCCACATTTACCCAGCCCCGGCCCGACAAAACACCGAGTAGCGAAGCCGCACAGCGGCAAAGCACAGCCGATTCCGAAACGAGCAGAACAACCAGATACCGTATATGTCAGCATCGAGCTGCCACCCCTTCGACAGGACTGAAATCTCGAGCTTGCCATCTTTGCCAGCTGTTGCAAAACGAAAACCCTTCAAGAAGCACAAACTTGCAGACCACTGGGGCCACGGCTTTGACACCTTTCCGGCGTCCCGTCTTTGCCCTTGTCTTTACCCTTTCCCTTGCCCTTACCTTTCTCCTTGCCCTTTTCTCTTCCTTTCTCCTTGCCCTTCTCTCTGCCTCGGTCCTTGCCCTTTCCTCGATCAAAGTCTTTGCTCTGATCATCTCCTACGAAAGGAAAGGAACACAAAAAAGCAAGTCTTAAAGTCTCAGACTCCAGCTGCTCCAGCTGCTCTTACTACTCCGGCTCCTTGCCAACTGTTGGAACGAGCCGCGTCGTTGTCCCGGTCCCAGATCCTCGGCTGCTTGCACGTAAACATATGACTTTCGCATTGAAGCAGCATCTGTGCCAGGACGCTTCCTCGCCCAAAAAGGGATGTCGGCCTGCGAGGGAAGACCGAGGAAGGCGCTCTGAGACAGACAAACCGCCCTGGGATCCTGGCATTGGCACTCCAGGAATCGTGCGAGGAAGCAGCATCTGAGCATCGTGCAGAAGATTGCGGCGCGGGGTGATCTGCTCTCGCCGAGTTCATGTGCCCTTTGCGGTCTGCCTGCCTCGCCTCGAAAGCTGAGCCCTGGGCGGCTGCGGGAAGCCTGGCCTCTGCAGAGAGAGTGTACGATGTGTACGGGACGACCAATGCGAGAGCCCGAGAGCAGTTGAAAGGTGAGATCAGTCCGAATGAACTGACTGAGATTGCACCCCTCACGTTGACTTCGGATTAAAATCATCTTTAGCCACGGCGGCGAAGAGGAACAGACGTCAAGACTGTGAGCTACGCTCGGGAAGCCAATCCATGCAGCTCCGAGCGAAAGGGTCATGTCCTCATACTGGCTTTCTCTACTCACGTTGGAACTCTCGTCACAAGACCACGAGCCTTTCGGAGGCTTCGGCTTTCCCGGTCCTGGGATCAAAAGCGAATCTGGTTGAAACATTGACCAGCATGCCCCGCGAAGGTCAAAAATTCTAAGAGGTTCGGGCTCAACTCAGTTGCTCCAAGTCTCGCTTCTTCTTCCTCTCAGGGGCCGCATCCACAACCCGGGCCTCAGGAAGTGCCGGGCCCCCAAGCAGAAAAAACGGTAACGGGGCAAAGGGACTTGGACTTGGCCTCGGAAAGCTCCTCGAAGGTGTCCTCGCGGCTGACCAACACTTCGGACGAGGACCGCCCTCTCGCTCTTTCCACACAGCCAGAAGGAGTAGCCCCCCGCCCTCTCTCCCTCCCTCTCTCCCTCTGTTTCTCTCTCTCGCCTTTCCCCAGAGCTGCCAATAGTACAGAGCGCACTCCAAGGCTCTTGCAGCCCTCTCGGGCACGGTTGCACTAGAGGGTGCAGCTGAAGCATTCACAGGACATCTAGCACCTCGCACGTGGGAAGCATCATGCACGGTGCATTCCCCTCTCAAGTTCGCAGCGCCATGATGCCCAGCTTTTAACTTGCGGACGATCTGGTGACATGCCGGTTGGGTGTTGGCGTACTGCTCGGCGAAGGTGTCCGCTACCGTAGCCACTCGTAGCACAGGTTGGGCACCTGGCTAATGTCGCCCGGGTGATTGGCGGGCACTTTCCCCTTCTGCAAGCTTTGCCTTAAGCCTCTCCTGTTTCTTTCCTCCTTTTCTCTCTCTCTCTCTCTCTCTCTCTCTTTCTCTTCTTCAGCACAGGCAGAGGGAAGCGCGATCCGAGGTCCGCGCCCCCCTCGCGCGTTTCCGCGCACTGGGGGGTGTACAGGGCTGAACGAATGACCGAAATTACTTGTGGATCGATTCACCGGCTCTCCCCCCGAACCCACTAACCTAAACCCCAACCCGCCTCGAAGGCTAAGATGGGTGCCCCCCTATTATCGGCGAACGATCCTCTCTCTCGAGCTAAGCACCGTGCAGCTGCAGGACCACCGTGTTGGTAGTCCCATTGCAGTCGGCATTGAAAACTGGCCCCCCAAACAAACAACACTGAAACACATTGCTTGAAACACACTGCACTCTCTCTCTCTCTCTCTTTCTTTCTTTCTGCCGGGCTTAGGGGTCGGTCGACCGACCCTCAGGCGTTGCGCCCGCCCGTCCCTCACACTGTTTTAGTGAGTGGACGGCTTTGGGGTAGTCCAGATTAGGCAAGGAAAAACAAAATAGGCCCCGAGGTGTAAACAGGAAAACCCCCCGAACTCTAAACACGACACAACCCCCGCCTCATCACCGCGCCCCTATGGCTATATCCTTAGTTGTGAGCTGGTTCGGGGGGGCCTGAAAAGTGCCGGTCGAATTGCAGCTCCCCCCAGCTCGAAGCGGGAGGGAGCATTGAATTGTGGCAAAGAGGCGGATCAGACTTCGTCACAAAAGTGACGGCGTTGCAGCGACTTGCAAAAGGACGGAAGGACTCTGCCATATCGGCAAAAGTGGCTGAAAGATTGTGGTATGTAACACGTATGGCACAAAGTGCGTGCATTCCCCGGGCAGGGTTGGTTTTGCAAAAGATTCCCCACGAAGTGGGGCGGGGCTCGCAGCAGGGCACAGTAGGGAAACAGGAGGGCCGAAACCAAAGCACAACACTGGGAAGCGGCAACCAAAACGCAAGAACCAAACAACATCCCCCCCTCCCACGTGTGCGAGTTTGCCACGCTCACATTCACTTCTGTTCAATACTCATCGCTGTCGTGTTCCCCTCTCTGCGTCGGCCATGTACTCCTCTGCGTTGTTTCCCCCAACTCTGCGTCGGGCCATGTGTTCTTGTACCTCCCTCACTTGCCAGCCTATACTCGGCACCAGGTTCACGGTCGCTCTCCCCCTCTGTGTGGCAGCACGTGGGTCAGCAGGCTGGTGCGGTCTTTTCCTCTGCCCTTCCGTTGTCCTGGGCACTCCTTCTGGTTCTGCGGGTCTCCTGCGGTCGGCCATGTTCCCGCTGGGTTCCCCCGACGGCTCCGCTGGCCTTGTTTGGTGAGCTTCTCGGTCTGAAGGTCTGCCTTGTGCTCCCCACGGCCATTGTGGGTCCTCGTCCTGGTAGCTGTGGTAGTCCATCTCGTTGTGTCCCCCGGGGGCTGCACCATGGTCGTCCGGTGCCCCCCCGTCTTCCTCTGCTTGGCTGGCTTCGCTTCCCCAGTCTGGTGGCGTATCTGGGGTACTGTCTTCTTTCTTCGCACTGGTCGTTGCTTCCCCCCTCGAGCTGCTGGCTGCCTCGGTCGGTCTGGCTGTGGTTGGCACGGTCATCTCGTCAGGCTCCCGTTGTGGGTCCCCTCTCGTGGCTCGGCGGTGTGTTGTTCCCGTCCCCCTCCGCGCTTGCTTCCTCTTCTTCACCTTGCGGGCTTCTTTGAGGAGCTTGGGGATGCGGTGCGGAAAGCGCATTATGAAGGCGCGCGTCTCATTGGTGATCCGGGGCATGTACTCATCCGTGATTTTCACCAACTTGTCGGCGGCTGCTCCCAAAGCTCGACGTTGGGAGAGTCTCCCCCTGTAGCTAGCATAGGCCTCCCGGTCGCTCTCCCCCAGCATCTTCCCCTTCTCGTCGTAGAGCTCCCCGGTGTCCTCGTCGCACTGTATGCTGCGCCCGATCCATGCATCGAGCGGGCTTGGGTGGAATAGGAGGTGCATTCCCCCACGTGTTTCGTGCTGCACCATGCGTTCGAGACTGGTGGCACGTCTGGAGTTGGCCTCCCCCTCCTCATGGCCTTGTGCTTTCGGTTTTGCTTTTGGGCTGGCTACAGGTCCACTGGCTAAGCTTGCAACTCCATGTAACCGACATGCCGGATCGCTCCGCACGTGCACCTTCCTCATGCCCGGCTGGCATATTCCCCCTGCTTCGCGGCAGATGCGACACTGCATCCCCCCAGGAAGTTTGCCGTGGTTCCGCGAGGATGTAGTATGGCGGTCCCCCCCTACTGACGGGCCACCTCCCGGAGGAGGGCCGTGGTCAAGGGGTCCCGTGATGCGCAAACCCTTAGGGCCTCTTAAGCAAAATGAGCTGCGGCGTGGGACTCAAGCGCCGCAGGGAAAGGCAGCACGGCTCTCCTGTGGTGAACAGCCACAGGCCAACCGCGTGCCTCCCCCCCGTACCAAGGAGGGTTTACAGCCCCCCAAGGCAAGGTGCGGACACTTGAGCCAAAATCTCTCTCTCTCTCTCTCGCTCTCTCTGTCTCTCTCTCTCTCGCTCTCTCTCTCTCTCTCTCTCTCTCTCTTTCTACCGGGTGTGGAGGTCGCGGCAGCGTCCAGGCCGCTCCCCCCGTGCGCGCACGCACTCCCGCGTTTCACGGGGTGTCCTTTGTTCGCCCCAGGGGTTCGCCCTGGGTCGGCTCGGCTGTACACACTGAAAAGTTTTGCCGAGGCATGAAAAGGGAAGGCCTGTCGGTGTTTCTCCCCACACCACATACGTTCAAACAACAGCATCAAAGCAAAAAGGAAGCTCATCCCCCCTACCCACAGGCCTTCTGGGGGTCGAAGGAGCAAGGACCGCCATGGGACTACGCGGGTTGATCGGAGTGAATTTCAGCCTTCTGTTCCCCCCGAATTCAGTCAAGGCGGCGTGTTGAAAAGAGGCTAGAATTGTAGGCCAGGTTGGGCCTGAGTTGAGCGGGCTTACCTGAGAAGGGTTGGGAGACAGGATCCCCCCAACCTCTGCTTAAAGAGTTCACACCGACATGGGACAGTTGACTGGAGCTATCGAGATAGTTTGCAGACGATGCAAAGTTGAGGCAACGGGCTCAACGAGGATTAGGCACTGTGGGCGGGTTTCAGCAGAACAACAAAGTTGGCCGAAACAAGTTCCAAAACGCTAGACCCAAAACAACATCCCCCCCACATGTGCGAAGCTCGGAAAATTTTTTGCCACGCTCACATTCACTTCTGTTCAGTACTCAGCGCTGTCGCCTCCCCTCTGTTGCGTGCCATGTGCTGCTGTACTTCTTGTACCTGGTGCCGTAGGTTCGGGATCAGGGCGACGGCTGGTCTTCCCCCTGTCCCGCGTGGTTCCCCTGGAGGAGGTCGCGTTCGCTTGGCATGTGACTTCCCCTCCGGTCCGCGTGCTCTTTCCGGAGCTGGCCGAAGGTCCTGTGGCTGTCTGGTCGGCGGCTCCCCCGCCGGTTCGGAAGGACGTCTTGGGTTCGTCTCCCGGTCTGACGGTCTGCCTTCGGGTCCCCACGGCCACTGCACATCACCACTTGCGTCTGGCTCCTCGTCGTCCCCGCTGTCGTCTTCGGTGGTTCCTCCCCAGTCGGGCGGAGTCTCTTCGTCCCTCTCCGCTGGCATAGGCGCGGGAGCGGCGGGTCCCACAGTCTCCCGTGCAGCCTCTGGTGGCGTGCGGCTTGCTTGGCCTTGTCTCCCCCGCTTGGGTTGCTGAGTCTTCTGAGTCTTCTTCTTCTTCTTCAGCCTGCGGGCGTCCCTCAGGAGTCTCGGAATGCGGTGTGGGAAGCGCATTACGAAAGCGCGTGTTTCATTGGCAATCCTGGGTAACAGCTTGTCAGTTATCTTCACCAGCTTATCTGCAGCTGCTCCGAGGGCTCACCGTTGGAGGAGTCTCCCCCTATAAGAAGCGTAGGTCTCCTGGTCATTCTCCCCCAA